CTCGCGGGAATGGCCGCTTGTGAAACAGTCCTTCAGCTTTCGATCGTCAAGAATGTTGAGAGATGGAGGTGTCGGACGCCTTCGGTGATTCAAGCGCGTCAGTTCGCATTGGGCCCGAAAGGTCTCCGCCGTTCTGACGAGGGGCCGCAGTTGAACGCGTTCAGGGACACCTCCGCCGCGACGGCCCCGAGGATCTCCGACGGGGGTCACCAGCAGGGCCCCTGGGAGCTCAACCCCGACTTAACGAGGTCCCTCTCGAGGCGCTTCGGGGCGGCGCATGGAAGTGGGCTGTCTCGGCCAGGGTTCAAGTCAAGGGGCCCATCGCCATGGTCGAGGGGGGGGGCGCCAACGTGACCTCCAGGCGCACTTTCAGGAATCGGGCCTCCCTTGGGATGCGTCATCTCAAGCTCGGTGATGGGATTGGGATTGTGCTGGCTTTGGGGCGCGGGGGCGTTCGCCGCCTATCAGCTTCTAATGTGTTGCCGTCGTGAGGCCATTCTATCCAGTGCTATTGGTTCGAAATTCGAGCACCGTTGGATCGCATCAGAGCTCGGCGCTGCCGATGGGGATTCGAACCGCTGGGGGCCGAGGTCGAGTTGTAAGCCGCCTCAGCCCAGCAGCGCGGCAGAGGCCAGCCGCTCGCCGCAGCCTGGCGAGGCAGGATTTCCTCGGGGGCCGCCCCTTCATCGGCGCCCCCAGGACGGAGAGGGGCGCGAGGCGCCCGGAGACCCCGGGGCCTTTTCCACATGCCGGGGCCCGACGAGAGAGGCTTCCTGGAGCGGGGCGCGGTGGCCCCGCAGACCTGGCGCTTCTACCGGGAGGCCCTGGCGGAGTTCCAGAGTTTCGCGGCCGCTCGCAGCCTCTCCGCCGCGGATGCCGACTTGGCGCTGACGAGCTGCGCCGACTACGCCTGGAACGTAGGGCTCGAGAGGGGCGATCTGCTGAAGACCCATGCCGCGTTCATCTCGGAGCGCTCGGACTTCCCCCGAAAGGGGTCGCTCCGCGCGCCTCGATTTTCATGGGCGCTCCAGGGCTGGAAGCGCTTCGATCCAGGGCAGGCGCGGCCGCCAATTCCCTGGCAGGTCACGGCGCCGCTGGCCAGCGCGATCGCGACCGACCTTCTCGGCCCCGAAGGTGGCGATCGATCATGCCAGTAGTGACGTTCTGGGCCTACCTCAGGCCAAGCGAGGCCTTCGGCCTCCAAGGGCAGGATATCTTCCACCTGGGCGGCGGACGCGAGCACTACGGCTTCAACCTGCGCCCCTCTGTCCGAGGGGAGAGCAGCAAGGTCGGCCTCGCGGACGATTGCGTCCTCCTGGATTCGGTCGAGGCCCCGCGGCTGGGCCCGCTGGTGGCGAGGTGCCGCACCGCCGCCCCGACGGCGCTGCTCTCTGGCTCGAACGCCCAGGAGCTCGGGCGCCCCTGGCGGCGCGCGCTGCAGTTCGTGCGCCTGGGGCGGTACTGCGCCCCCAACCAGCCCAGGCACGGCGGCCCGTCGCGCGACCGCCTGTGCCTGAAGAGGCACGAGGCCCAAGCGCCGGCGCAGCAGGAGCCCGCCGAGCTGGATGCTGCCACCCGCAAGTAGGCCGACGCGGCGCCCGACAAGCTCCACGAGGAGCTGGAGAATGCGCCGGGGTCGACCCGCCAGGGAGACAGGCCCCGCGGGGACCGCAGGCGGCACCCCGCGGCCCGCGGCCATTGGCGACGACGACGAGCCGCCGCCGCGGATCTTCGAGCGCGGGGCCGTGCCACACTCGCGCCGAGCTCCCTTCGTCGAGCTCATGCGCGGCTCCGCGCGCCTGGCCCTAGCTGTCGCCGCCGCTGGGTGGGCTTCGCAGGGCTAGGACATCGCCGACGGCTGCGGCGCGGACCTTCGGAGCCCAGACGCCATCGACGCGCTTCTGAGCCGCGTCCAGAGCGGGGCCATCATGGGCGCCCATTTCGGCCTGGACTGCAAGACGTGGTCGAGGGCCAGTTAGCTGGATGGTCGAGGGCCGCCGCCGCTGAGAAGCGATAAGGATATCTGCGGACTGCCTAGCGCGAGCCGCTGCGATGCCGCAAAGCTTGATGATGCCAACCTTCTGTCTCGCAATGCGCCGGGACTTTCGGGCGCCTCTCTCGCTCGAGACATCCTTTGTTCGATCGAGAACCCGCGCTCCTCTCGTCTGTGGCTCGTTCCCGAACTCGGCTCGGTAGCGAACCGAGCCAGAGCAGAGCGGGCGCGCGCGGATTTCTGCAGGCACCAGGTGCCGCGGCGCAAGGCGACGACATTTCTCCTCTTCAAGTGGCCGCCGGTGCAGTCGCAGCTCAGACGATGCGAAGGCCGCCGAGCTTGATGCAGTGCGACTGGTAAACGACACATTGCTTTAAAGGGGAAATGCCCAAGCGGTGTCTTTTGGACCACGAGAGCGTGCCTTTATCCCGGGGAGCCTTGTCAGACTGGCGCGTCTTCTCGCGGCCAAGGCTAAGACGCTTCTTCCGAATGGGTAGGGGGCGAGGTCTCACCTGTGCCCTCGCGATCCCACCAGCGCGGCTCTCGCCGCCAGCTGTTCCGCTCGCTCGTTCTCTTGGCCACTGGGCGAAGCAGCCCCCGCGACTAAAAGTTTGGTTCAGGGCGCTTCGCGCAGTCGCGTCCCTTGGCGCGGTGGAGCTCCGAGGTTTACGATTAGTGCCTGTGCGTGAATGATCGAGAGAGCGGGGGGGCGCCGCGCGGTTTCGAGGCGCCCACCAGCCGCCCCAGTGCTGCCACCTTTCCCGTGCAACTGTTTTTTCCTCCGAAGGGGGTCGAGGTCTTGCATCTGTGCCCTCGCGATCCCACCAGCGCGGCTCTCGCCGCCAGCTGGCCCGCTCGCCCGTTCTCTCGATCGCTGGGTGAAGCAGCGCCCGCGGCAAAAAGTTCGATTCAGGGCGCTTCGCGCAGTCGGGCCCCTTGGCGCGGTGGAGCACCGAGGTTCACGCTTGTCATCGTCATCGTCGCGGTTCAAGAAGCTTTTAACTTGTCGGCTCGTCTGAGACCCTAACCCCTTAGCTCGCGCTCCTGCGATCTCAATGCAGGCCGGGGCGAAGGAGTGACCGACGGTTGCGCCGCGCGGACCAGCTGGGGTTGATCAGAAGGGCGCGGCCCCATGCGCGCGCGCGTGCAACTGGCAGAAAGAAGCCCGCACAACTCGGCAGCGCAGCGGCATTGGATGTAGGTGATGCCGACGAGGAAACCGGGGGCAATGTTGTGTCAGGGACATTCGCGAAGTCACGTTCGAGCGCGGTGCCGGGCGCGGCAGCTTGCGCTGGTGATTCGGAGTTCGAGAGCGACAACGCCAGGTTGACAAAGTGCTTAGCGGACACTCGCAATCGCATGCCACGGCTTTTTTGCAAAACCGAACTAGACGCTGCAGCAAATCAAGAAGCTGTGAAGCATGAGCGCCGTCTTGGCTGTTTCCTCGGGCGCATGCGGGAGTTCCAGAAGTCCTGCTCCGGAGAGACGACGCGTGAGATGTGCGATTTCTACGCAATTCTTGGGCTGAAAGGTTCACAGTTGACTGCGAAGGTGTGGCAATGTTACTTCGACAAACTCAAACAATGGTTGGCTCAACCGCGGGAAGATTCACGGGATCCTGAACGCAATTCCAAAGAGGCCGATGAAGCAGCTAGAGAAGAGGAGGGGCCGCCCAGCAATTGGGTGCATCATCGAGAGGAGTTGGCATCGCGAGGGTGGCGTGCCCGGTGCATCAGAGAAACAAGTGTGCGGTCTGCCCAAATTTCGTTGCGTTGACAATTCGTTGGCTTAGTATGGCGCGCCGTATTTTTCATAGCGTCCACCCCCGGAGGTCTCGATCCATTCCCCGCGACCCGCTTTTCATTCCGAGTCATTTTGTTATCGCTCTGAGGCCCACTAAGGGTTTCCAGCGGTTAAGAGCGCAGGAGAACCTTCCATCGTGATTTCTTCATGATCTGAGAGGGTCTGCGGACGGAGGATGCAGAATGGCGGATGCCGCTGGGAGACAACACAAACGACGCGGGAGGACAGGTGAGGACGATTGGCAGGAGCGGGTGCCGCCAGCGGCGGGCTGGTCATGGGAAGAGGCAGAGGCTTCGAATTCCCCCCTTCGCTTTGGCATCGGGCCTCCCTTGCAGCTTCCCGTTTGCCAGCTTGAAATATTTCCGTACGGTCAAGGGTAACAAGATGTAGACCCCCCCCAAAAAAATCAATGTTGGCATGCGCGAGGAAGATTGCTGTCGAAATGCTACTCGCTCAGCCCGCCGCCACGATTGATCATTGGGGGGGACATTGACAGATGAATGTGGCGCGAGCCTTTGCTAATTTCTTCCGAGGCCTGCACCCCTATGTGTGGCATCGCCGTACCCAGGTGCCGATCTTGAGGAGTTTCTGAGTGCACTTCTCTAGGACTGTCATCGCTATGGGCTTGCCGATGTGAGGAATAGGGATACGTTCGAGGATGCTCATCCAAGGCGCCCAGCCCGCTCCCCAAGCCGCCCGCGCAGAGCACACGCACGGGGCCCAGACCCCCGACGTCATGATTTGTTCGTGACGTCGGCCTCCAGACGGCGGTTTCGGAAGAAATGTCCGAACATTCATGCCACATTCATTTGCCAACGTTCCACCCCACGGATCAATCTTAGCGGTGGTTTGAATGAGTTGCACATAGACCGCAGTTTTCCCCGCGCGTGCCAACTTCGACTTTAGGGGAGAGGGGGAGTGTTCCCGAATTGTTTCCGTCTGCCGGAGGTGTCGAGCCCATTGCCTGGGCCTGGCTTGTCATCCTGACCCGTCCTGACGGTCCCGCCCCCAGCGACTGAAGATAGCGAAACAGCCGGCCGTCCCGATTTTGTAGATCTCGAGGGGGACGGGGCCGAGGGGGTGGCCAGCCCAGCGCCTGCCGGAGACACTGGCGGCCGAGCCCTGGGCCCCCTCGTCGTGGGGCCGTCAGGCGTTCCTCTCGCCCTATTGGGCGCCTCGGCTGCGGCGCGGGCCCCCGTTCAAGGTGAGCACGGTGGACGACACGCACCTCAAGACGTGGGACTTCAGAGGAGGAAAACGTACCCATACGGCTACCGTTGCCTCGTCGCCACCGTTGGATTCGCTTCGAAATTTTGGTCGGAACGCACTGGGGTAGAAGTCTGGAAAGTGTCGATGTCGGTACCTTTTGGTTTTCCCAGGACCTGCGGTCGAGCCGCCTCGCCTTCCGGAGGAAGTGGGCGGGGCATATACGGTCGGAGGCTTTGGCCTGTGGAGTGTCGCTCCGCCGGTTCTGGCCCACCACGCTTCGGCACGACACGCTATCCGCTGTCCACGTCGTAGCTCCCAGGCGTCAACCTCCCGAGCTTTCCCGAGCCTCCCGGACGGAGCGACACGCGATCCGCTCGCAGAGCATGGCGTGTCGCTGGGGTCGCTGCCACGACACGCTAAGCAACAGTTCCCGCCCGTAGTCCGTGCTAGAAGGGCGCCCCGAGCCTCTTCCGCCCTTCCAGCCTCCCTTCCGTTCCTCGCCCCCGCTCAGCCCCCCCCCCCTTTTCGTCCCTTGCTTTATGATGTTCCTCCTCCTTGCTCTTCCTCCCTTTCCCCGTCTCCCTGTGCTTCCCGTCCATCATTACACAATTTGAACACTACTCTCCTCTCTCCTCTGGCGACGCCCAGGACATGTTCGGCCCCCCTCGGCGTCTCTTTGTTTTAAACGCACAGGTACCCTGGAAACTGATTTTCACGTTTCTTTTGTGTGTGTGTGTTTGTGTGTGTGTTCCCCTTTCTTTTTTTCAAATGCTGCTCTGGCTGAAGCGCTGGCCTAATTTTCGGGCTAACGCGTCCTCCGAATCGTGTTCCCGCTGCAGCGCTGGCCTAATTTCCGCGCTTCCGCTCGTTCCGAATCGTTCTCCCGCTGCAGCGTTGGCGTCATTATTTCCAGCGCCATGCCCCGGCATGGTTTTCGGTCCTTCCAAATAGGCTTCACAATCTGGAAAATGCCCCCCCCGTAACAACCACCGGAAGTGATTATACATTCGGTGTCGATTCGTTATTACCTAACAGCGAAGACTGATAGGTTTCTAGTAGTGTCAAAAGAAAGCATCTTGACTCCCCAGGGGGGTCTGGGCGGGTGCCGGGGAGAACCCGCGGAAGTCGTTTCAAGCAACCAGTTACACACTTCGTGGTCTTCGAGGTCCCAGAAGTCCATTCCCGGGCCACATTCTGAATGCCCGGAGCCAACTGTAGGCCATTTCGTGCTCTTCGAGTTCCCAGAACTCCATTCCCGGGCCACATGTTGAATGCCCGGAGCCAATTGTAGGCCACTTCGTGGTCTTCGAGTTCCCAGAACTCCATTCCTGGGCATGATTTTGAATGCCCGGAGCCAATTGTAGGCCACTTCGTGGTCTTCGAGTTCCCAGAACTCCATTCCTGGGCATGATTTTGAATGCCCGGAGCCAACTGTAGGCCACTTCGTGTTCTTAGAGTTCCCAGAACTCCATTCCCAGGCCACATGTTCAATGCTGAGGCAGGCTGATGCTGAGGCTGAGGAAGGCTGAGGCTGAGGCAGGCTGAGGCTGAGGCCGAGGCTGAAGGCAGACTGAGGCTGAGGCTGAAGCAGGCTGAGGCTGAGGCTGAGGCAGGCTGAGGCTGAGGCTGAGGCAGGCTGATGCTGAGGCAGGCTGAGGCTGAGGCTGAGGCTGATGCAGGCTGAGGCTGAGGCAGGCTGAGGCTGAGGCCGAGGCTGAAGGCAGACTGAGGCTGAGGCTGAAGCAGGCTGAGGCTGAGGCTGAGGCTGCAGGCTGAGGCTGAGGCTGAGGCTGATGCAGGCTGAGGCTGAGGCAGGCTGAGGCTGGCTGAGGCTGAGGAAGGCTGAGGCTGAGGCTGAAGCAGGCTGAGGCTGAGGCTGAGGCAGGCTGAGGCTGAGGCTGAGGCAGGCTGAGGCTGAGGCAGGCTGAGGCTGAGGCTGAGGCTGATGCAGGCTGAGGCTGAGGCAGGCTGAGGCTGAGGCCGAGGCTGAAGGCAGACTGAGGCTGAGGCTGAAGGCTGAGGCTGAGGCTGAGGCTGAGGCAGGCTGAGGCTGAGGCTGAGGCAGGCTGATGCTGAGGCAGGCTGAGGCTGAGGCTGAGGCTGATGCAGGCTGAGGCTGAGGCAGGCTGAGGCTGAGGCCGAGGCTGAAGGCAGACTGAGGCTGAGGCTGAAGCAGGCTGAGGCTGAGGCTGAGGCAGGCTGAGGCTGAGGCTGAGGCAGGCTGATGCTGAGGCAGGCTGAGGCTGAGGCTGAGGCTGATGCAGGCTGAGGCTGAGGCAGGCTGAGGCTGAGGCCGAGGCTGAAGGCAGACTGAGGCTGAGGCTGAAGCAGGCTGAGGCTGAGGCTGAGGCAGGCTGAGGCTGAGGCTGAGGCAGGCTGATGCTGAGGCAGGCTGAGGCTGAGGCTGAGGCTGATGCAGGCTGAGGCTGAGGCAGGCTGAGGCTGAGGCTGAGGCTGCAGGCAGACTGAGGCTGAGGCTGAAGCAGGCTGAGGCTGAGGCTGAGGCAGGCTGAGGCTGAGGCTGAGGCAGGCTGATGCTGAGGCAGGCTGAGGCTGAGGCTGAGGCTGATGCAGGCTGAGGCTGAGGCAGGCTGAGGCTGAGGCCGAGGCTGAAGGCAGACTGAGGCTGAGGCTGAAGCAGGCTGAGGCTGAGGCTGAGGCAGGCTGAGGCTGAGGCTGAGGCTGATGCAGGCTGAGGCTGAGGCAGGCTGAGGCCGAGGCTGAAGGCAGACTGAGGCTGAGGCTGAAGCAGGCTGAGGCTGAGGCTGAGGCAGGCTGAGGCTGAGGCAGGCTGAGGCTGAGGCTGAGGCAGGCTGAGGCTGAGGCTGTGACTGCGACTGCCGTTGCCACTGCGACTGTCATCGCGAATGCGACTACGACTGCGAGAACAGCAGAATTCTACAACTGGATTCTCATCTGAATCTTAAGGGGAATGCTTCCATATATGCTCCTACACATCGTTGTTTTCTCGTGATGCTGGCAGGATGGACGCGGAAATCTGTGGTCCAGCTCCTTGTGCTACAGGCGTTGAACTGCGGGACAGGAACCAGGGTTTTGTTTCTATCGTGTTTTGTCTAATGCTGTGCTCGTTTGTGCTCGTTTAATCATGTGCCGTTATGGGCCTGCTCTGCCGCTATAGAGCTTCTGACCGGTACGAATTGCCCCCATGAAGGGAAGCGGATTCCAAACTGAGTGCTGCTGGGGAAACGTTTCAACGCTTGACGCCTTCGTTTCATTTTCGGCGGGCTGGCGGATCCGGGGCGTGCGGACTTCCAGTCAAGCGGTTGCGTGATGGTGGAGCGATGCGCGGGGTGGGGAGAAAAAAGAACATCGCTGTTAGGCCGGGATACATTTTTTGGGGCCGCAGCAGGCCCCCCCCCCACTTTGGGGCGTCGCCAGGCCATGCTATGTCAGGCTACGCGTCCTCCAAATCGTGTTCCCGCTGCAGCGCTGGCCTCATTTCCGCGCTGCCGCTGTTCCGAATCGTGCTCCCGCTGCAGCGCTGGCGTCATTACTTCCAGCGCCATCATGCCCCGGCATGGTTTTCGGTCTTTCCAAGTGGGCCCCACAATCTGGAACGTGCCCCCCCGAGACAACCATCGGAAGTGATCACACATGCAGTGTCGATGCGTTGATTTCTTGGGCCGCAGAAGGCCCCCCCCCACTTTGGGGCGTCGCCACGCCATGCTATGTCAGGCTACGCGTTGATTTTCAACACCATGCTTTGCCATGTCATGGTATGCCCTGCTGCGACATCCGACTGTGCGAATAGAGAGGAGATCTACGCCATAGTAAGGGATGGGAGGAACGGGTAGGACGTCAGATAAGACGCGAGCGCACCTAGCTTGCCCAGTCCCCCTGCCTCTTCCCCTCTCCCTTCCCTTTCGCCCTCTGACGATCCGGTTTCTCCGTTCAGCCCTAGGCTCCCCAGGGCTGGCCAGAAGGCCAGCGTATAGACGGCGAGCGTCTCCCACCCACTTGCCCCGTGAAGGTGAATTGGAGGAGGAGGGCCCGTGCGTCCAACAAGGATGCTGTCAATACGCCAAGACTAGTTCGACACTGCTCCAGCCCCCCTGCATAAAGGGCGTCTTCCCACTCTCACATGTATTTCGCGTCTCTTCCCCTTCTCTCAGATATGCCTGCGCGATCCTTGGGTGCGCGGTGCGGCTGGATTCGGCCTTTACCACTGCCGCGGTGCGCAATGTGATCATCGAGACTCCGCTGGCTCTTCGGGTTCAATTATTGCGAAGGCCTACGAAGATGAAAACGAGGGCGGGGCAGGGGGAGGAGGATGAGTGGGAGGTGGAGGAAGGGTGGAGGAGGTGGATGAGGGAGGAGGAGGGGGGAGAAGGATGTGGAGGAGAAGCAAGAGGAGGAGAAGGAGGCAGAGGAGAGCAGGAGGAGGGGTAACAGAGGGGTGGGAGGAGGAGGAGGAGGAGGAGGAGGAGGAGGAGGAGGAGGAGGAGGAGGAGGAGGCCAGAGGCTTTCTTGGGACAGCCTCGGGCTCTCTGGAGGCCGTCTTGGGCCGTCCAGGGCTCCTCTTGCGCCGTCTCGAGGCACTCTTGGAGGCCTCCTGGGCAGTTTGGGCCTCTCTTGGGCTGTCTTGGGGCAGTTTGGGGGCCCCTTGGGAGCCTCTTGGGGCCTCTTGGGGCTTCTTCGGGACCTCTTGGGGGCCTCTTGGGGCTGAGAGCTCGAAATGTCCGTTCGGGTCCTCCGTCTGGGCACTCTCCTGGAGCCGTCTTGGGGGCCTCTTGGGCCGTCTTGGAGACGTCTTGGGCCGTCTTGGGGCCCTCTTCGGCCGTTGGGGGACCCTCTTGGCGGCCTCTTGGGCCGTCTCGGGGCGATCTTGAGGGCCTCTTGGGCCGTCTTGGCGCGTCGGGAAACGGAAGAGGCAAGAACGCCAAACTCTTTCAAAAACGTATGGGAAATCTATGAATTTTGCCTCTTGGGGCCTTTGGGGCCTCTTGAGGCACTCTTGGCCCGTCTTAAGGATTTTTTGGGCTCCGGGACTCCCAGGGGGGGCGTCGTATTTGGGCCCCCCCCCCCCCCCCCCCCAGGGGGGGGGCGACATCCCCGGGGGGGCGTCGTATTTGCCCCCCCCCCCCCCCCCCCCGGGACCTCCCCCCGGGACGTCCCCCGGGACCCCTTCCAGGCCCCCCTCCCCCAGCGGGGAAGGGATCGAAGGGAAGGGGCTTCCCTTCG